CACCAACCAAAAACTACTGCGTAGAATTAATTGGAATTTTTCACACACAAGCCTTGCTATATGAGCTCTCAAAGCATATAAAAATTATACGGCTTAAATGTGAAGTTGGGTGCAAAAGAATACAATTAAATCCTCTGTCGGGAAAAAACGAAATGACTTTCCGAACAACCTTAAACATTAATGTAACATTTTGTATTCTGGCATTTGCTGTATAATCATCGTAAAGTTATCATCATCATCATCCTCATGCAAAAAAATCACCGCAATGTGCACTATCCTATAGATACAGATGCATTCAATGCAACTTTACCAAATAACGTGAGGATTGTATCCCGTCTGGATTGGGTCGCTCAGCCTGCTGTACAAACTCCTGACGAGCTCAATGTGCCCGTACCGTACGTCATAATATGGCACACTGCTACAGAGAATTGTAGCGACCAAGCTACCTGTGTCTTCCACGTGCGTGCAATTCAGACGTTTCACATCGACAGTAGTCACTTGTGGGACATCGCGTACAATTTTTTGGTCGGTGGAGACGGAAACGCTTACGAAGGAAGGGGTTGGACGAAAGAAGGGTCGCACACGCACGGTTACAATAAGAAATCCATAGGGATTGCCTTTATAGGAACATTCATTACGATTAAACCGCCGGAATGGCAAATAAATGCCTGTAAGGTGCTTATAAATATGGGTATAAAACAGGGATACATTTCGAAAAATTACAAACTCCTTGCAGCGAAACAATTAATAGGGACGCAAGCACCCGGAGCCGTTCTATACGAAGAAATTAAAACGTGGCCCCATTGGTCTGCCCTTCCTTGATAACAAACAAAACAGCTCCTGTGTTCCATAGTGCTAATATCCCACAAGGGCAAGGTGAAAAACACAAAATAAAAGGCTGTAATTATACATTAAGGGTTATTGAAACTAAAATAGGTACTGTTATATATAAAAATTTGTGTCTTTTATTTTGTATATATAAACGAATTTTTATATAAATAAATCGGAATAAAGCTAATAGTTTAACAATATTACGAACCATTATTTAATTTTTCTCATTTATTTATCGGAAGATACCCTTAGAAATTAAGAAAATATTTAGATAGCATTGAGTTTTACTAGTCCAACATTTATTTCATTGAAATCTACATACACCTTTCGAAATAATCTGGAATTTTAATTTGGATCGATGTAACTAACGGTGGAGTATCATATCGCTACCATTGTTTATTACTGATGAGTTCGAAAAAGAATACGTACCATCTGGTATTATTTTGTACTAAAATATGCGAAATAATTTAAGCATAAAAAGGCGCTCGTTAAATCATAAGCAGTTGAAAATATTTCCCAAACTTTAAGGGTAGACAATTATGTAAAAAAGTGCGTAGAATCTCGTGGTGCCAACGGTTTTCGAATGCGATGTCGGAAAGGTACATTGCGGCACCTTTTTAGGTAAAATATGCGAAATAATTTAAGCATAAAAAGGCGCTCGTTAAATCATAAGCAGTTGGAAAATATTTCCCAAGCTTTAAGGGTAGACAATTATGTAAAAAAGTGCGTAGAATCTCGTGGTGCCAACGGTTTTCGAATGCGATGTCGGGAAGGTACATTGCGGCACCTTTTTAGGTAAAATATGCGAAATAATTTAAGCATAAAAAGGCGCTCGTTAAATCATAAGCAGTTGAAAAATATTTCCCAAGCTTTAAGGGTAGACAATTATGTAAAAAAGTGCGTAGAATCTCGTGGTGCCAACGGTTTTCGAATGCGATGTCGGGAAGGTACATTGCGGCACCTTTTTAGGTAAAATATGCGAAATAATTTAAGCATAAAAAGGCGCTCGTTAAATCATAAGCAGTTGAAAAATATTTCCCAAGCTTTAAGGGTAGACAATTATGTAAAAAAGTGCGTAGAATCTCGTGGTGCCAACGGTTTTCGAATGCGATGTCGGGAAGGTACATTGCGGCACCTTTTTAGGTAAAATATGCGAAATAATTTAAGCATAAAAAGGCGCTCGTTAAATCATAAGCAGTTGGAAAATATTTCCCAAGCTTTAAGGGTAGACAATTATGTAAAAAAGTGCGTAGAATCTCGTGGTGCCAACGGTTTTCGAATGCGATGTCGGGAAGGTACATTGCGGCACCTTTTTAGGTAAAATATGCGAAATAATTTAAGCATAAAAAGGCGCTCGTTAAATCATAAGCAGTTGGAAAATATTTCCCAAGCTTTAAGGGTAGACAATTATGTAAAAAAGTGCGTAGAATCTCGTGGTGCCAACGGTTTTCGAATGCGATGTCGGGAAGGTACATTGCGGCACCTTTTTAGGTAAAATATGCGAAATAATTTAAGCATAAAAAGGCGCTCGTTAAATCATAAGCAGTTGGAAAATATTTCCCAAGCTTTAAGGGTAGACAATTATGTAAAAAAGTGCGTAGAATCTCGTGGTGCCAACGGTTTTCGAATGCGATGTCGGGAAGGTACATTGCGGCACCTCTTTAGGTAAAATATGCGAAATAATTTAAACATAAAAAGGCGCTTGTTAAATCATAAAGTGTTGGAAAATATTTACTAAACTTTAAGTATTGAAAATTATGTAAAAAAGTGCGAAGAAACTGAAAAAGATTCTCGTTAAATTATAAAAAGTTAGAAAATATTTACTAAGCTTTAAGTATTAGTAATCATGTATAAAAGTGCGTGGAATCTAATTATTGCAACGATTTCCGAGGGCGGTGTCAAATAGGCACTTTCTGGAAGTAAATTTGGTGAAATGTGTAAAATAATTTAAACATAAAAGAAATTGAGGTAAGAGGCGGTTTCATTTAAATGAATAAAAGGCAAGTTCAGTGTAGAATAGCTAATTATTATATATATAAAAAAAAATATGTTATTTGTCCACACAGGGCAAGGTAATGTATGTAGTTAGTATCAGCAATTTTTTTGCTGAAGTGTACGATTGTGTTTCATACCTATTTACAAATAATTCCGTTAAATTTTAATTACTGATTGGTATATATCTATTAAAAAACCATAATGGCCGACATCAGTAACAATGCGACAACAATTGAAAAATAATGATGGCCGACAACTACAACAATTAGAAAAGAATGATGGCCGACAACTACAACAATTAGAAAAGAATGATGGCCGACACTACGTCATAATGGAGCAATAAAAATGGGCGGGGCAGGGGGAATAACTAGTAAAGAATAAATTAATTGTTAATATATAATAAGTTTATTTAAATGATTATACTTAAATTAATGCTTAAGGATATTGCAAGCCTTTGCAGTTGCCATAATAAAAGCAGAAAACGTTATCCATCTAATAATTAAAAAGGTAAACGGATAAGATACTATTCTCTGTAATTAGTGCGTAAAATAGTGGCTGATTATAAAATTTTATAATAACATTTCGCTATTATGTAAGAGGTGGCGACATATGTTGTCATTACATATTAAAAAAGTATTTATTAAGTAAGGCATTGTAAATTTAAATCCCTTTTTTTATTAATACTAACGGCTAATTAATTAAGTCTTTGTTTGCAGCACTGTCTCTTGATTTAGGATGTAGTGTGTTTTATTATACAAAAGTTTGCTCGATGGACAGTTGTTCGATGTAATACCTCAATTTTGGGTTTTGGATAATTTTAAATAAGGTCTTTGGACTGTTTGGATCAAACGTCAAACAAATATGTGCAATATTTATGGATGGCAAGCTAAAAACACGGTTCGTGAAAACTGTAAAGTGAAACATTGTAATTATAGAAAGAATAATGTAAAAGCAAAGAAAAAGATGAATGGAAACCTTATAAGTATTTAAATTCTGTTAATTTAAATGTGTTATTATAACAGTATAAGAAAATAAAAATAGTATAAAATGGTGATAAATCGTGGTGATATAAAACGAAAAAGGAAAGATGACGACAATATCTTATTGGAGGATAGTCCTAAAAGGTAATTTATATAAATGTTATATTTAGCATATTTTAAATAACAAATTTGGAATTTGCTTTTTAAAAATATTTGTATTTAATTTTGTGTAAACGCGATTCTTCTAGTTGCCCACTATGTTGATTGTGTCTTTTTAAATTTCAATTAGGACTAAAGTACATGCACAGAGAAAGTTTGCCCAAGGAACGGTTATCAACACCAGTCCTGTTCTCACCCCAATTAGAGAATTTGATAAACCTGAGAAATCACGACCAGATGTTTTACCAGAACCTCAAGAACTGCTACCTATGAAACGACCTCATACTGAGGACTTTCTAACTTTTCTGTGCTTTCGTGGGACTTCCATGTTACCTCCAAGTTTAAATTTCTTTAGTAATGCTACTATCACAGACTCTTCCTCTGAGCAAGGTGATTCTCCTATTTCCCAGCCTCAAAACCTGCCAATACCATCATGCAGCATCCACAATGCTAAATCAGAATCGGGAAAAGAGAGGCCCTTCATTGCCTTTGGTGTTAGAAAAAGAGCTGATCCAATTTTAATAAGTAAACAAATGGACAAGAAGCGTAGACATGCTCTCGCCCTTCAGGCATTAAGGAGGAAATATCAAGAGCAACGTATGGCAAAAATACGAGCTGTAACTATAAGCCACTTATCTGAAAAGGTAACTAGTAAAAGCCTGGTTCGAACTCGATCAGTTACTAAAAATGAAACTTCGATAAAGAAAAATGTTACTCATAAAACACGCGTCAAAGTTGTTTCTACTAAGGTAACAACTACAAAAACATCGTTGAAAAAGCAACCAATAAATTCTCAAGTCCAGAAGAAACGAATGTGTTTGAGGAGTTTTCGTGGAAGATTCAATCATCAAGAATTACAAGTTAAAGCGAAAAGGAGAAAACCTATTGCAAAAAGTTTTTGTTTAGAATCACCTGAAGAACTGAAAAAAGCAAAGACAACTAGCAAGGGAGATGAAGAATTGAAGAAAATTACAGAAAACAAAAAAGTCATTTCAAAAGAAGATATTTCATCTGAATTCTCCACAGATGATGAAGAACCACTGACAAATAATTCCAGAAAATCGTCTTTACGACCAGTTACCAGAGTTCCTTTACGTATTATTCGAAAACCTGTATGTAAAGCTCCATATGAAGATATAAAGTAAGCTTTATATTTTTATTATCCTTTTATTATTTCCCAACAATAATTAATGCACTTTTTTACAGTACGAAAATAACCAGAAGAAATATGACACCTGTAAGTAAGTCGTTTACAACAAGAAGCCAAGTGCTCAGAAAGCAGAATACCCAACTTACAAAGAAATTAAAATCACCTGTCAAATTATCCAACTATCCTATTCTTCGAAGATGCACTCTACTGCAAACTAAAGAAATTAACAAGAAAACAAGAAAAGCAATGTTAAAGAAAAAACACCAAAACGTTATTGTGAAACAAAGAAGAAATGCAGAAAAAGAAACTAACAACAAAATGCACTGCAGAAAAATTGGAATGGGGACACGAAGAACAAAAGTAGAAACTGAAGAAATTAAACCAAGAACTATTAAAAAAGAAAATGACTCTAAAACTGAAAAAGAAGAAATCCAAATAAAGTCGTCTTCTATTTTAAAGAAATCAGTAAAATTGGAAAACAATAATAGTACAATCAAAGATGAAGAAAAAGATAAAATTAAGAAAACTGAAGAAAAAAACAGAAAGTCTATTAAAATAGAGAGTCCAGAAGATAAGGAATTCAAAAAATCCATCAGTGATCAAAAAGAACAAGAAATTAATAATAAAAAAAGCAAAACGTTTAATAACACTGACAATAAGAAGAATCAGACATTAAAAAAGCAAGAACCTGAGACCAAAATAAATACTAGAACATCTACTCAAAAAGCAGAAAGAAACAAAGCACAAAATGAAGAACAAAAAAAGTCTCCAAAAGAAAAAGTGGCAATAGAAGAGTCAAAAGTGACTCCAAGACCTTCTAGAAAAACAAAAGAAGCTGCTGCAATTTACATGGAAATTCTAGGACGCAAGTTGGTCAGTGAAGGAAATATTGATGAAGACAATATTTCCATCGACAGTTTTCCAGAGTTACCCAATGTGCGCAGAACAGAACAAAGAGAAAATGAATTAAAAGCAAAAGCAAAAACTAAAACTTCAGATTTAAAGAAAGCCTCGCCAGAAAAAACTGCAAATGAACTTGCAAAGGAACGTACAAAAGATTCCACTAAGAATGAAAATGTAATTGATTCAAAAAAAGAAAAGAGTTCTGAGAAGAAATCAAAGAACAATTTTTCAGGCAGAAAAGGCAAGACAATCAAATGTGATGAAAATAATGAAAAAGTAGAAGAAAAGTTTTCAAAGGAAAAGCAAGCAAAAACAGAAAAATGTGTGAAACCATTGATGCCGAAGCCCACACAAAATTCTTCCATAAAGATAGAAGAAGTGGTAAAGCAAGCAATAGAGCTCCTCTCCGTAAATAAACAAAAAATCACTGACTCTGATACAGGTAGATTAGCAAAAAGCCCATCGTCAGATCTTTCAGCAGAAAAAATTAAAATATTAAACGAGAAAAAAGCTGAATTGGGAATGAAAATTTCCAAAAATGAATCTTTAAGTGAATCCGATGAACCTGAAATTTCACAAAAATCTAAGCAATTAAAACGAAAACGGTCAATAAAAAATCGATCTCAATCTAATGTTATCAAAGATGAATTAGAAAATTCCTCAGATTCAGAATTTGACGTTAAATTATCTACTAACAAAATGCGTGATTTTCCATTAAACGCACCCAAAATGGAACATAGCTTCAGTGACTCTGATGAGGAACCATTATCAAAGTTAACACAAGTTAAATTAGCTGCTTCAAAGGACCTTAAAAAGTCATCAAATAAAAACATTGAAAATGCAGACAATAAAGTATCAATGGAGAGCAAATCACCTGTTTTGGAAACTAAAAAAGAAACAAGAATTTCAAAGTATAATCCCAAAAGAGATTCTAGTCAAAGAAATCCAAAGAAAAAGGCTGAAAATCAAGAAAGACCCGCATATTCTAAGCCCAAACGAGAATGTACAAAAAGGCCCTCCAATTATCTTACTATGTTTTCATCTTCTGATGATGATGATAAATATTTCCACGGTTTTGTGAAAATTGAAAATTCTAAACAACATAAACAAGAAAGAAAGAATACCCATATAGTTCAGTCAGCTGATCTTCTTTGTAAAGATGTTGATAAAAGGTTTGGAAAAGGAAAAGTGAACATGTCTACAGAACAAATAGAAAAATGGCTTAAAGAAAGTGCATTGGCAGGTAGTAACATGAAAAAAGAAGAAGAGGAAGAAAATTTGGTGAAATACGAGGATAAAATTCCAACTGAGACGTCATTAAATACAGAGTTTCACAAGAATGTTAATATAACAGTCTTAAAGACGGTTCTTCTTCCTGAGACTGAAATATCTAAAGTAGATACTACACTAGTTCCCGATATTAAAATTCCCGAAATATTAAAATCGCCCCTTGAAAAGAATATTAAGCTCATTAAGACTTCAGAACGCAAGACTATCTTTCGTAAAGAAAAAAAGGAAGACAAACCCAACACTAATGCCTTTTCGCCTGATAATGAAAGCAGCGTTTACGCTTTTGAGGCCGAAACCGAAGATTTAGTAAGCACACCCTTTCGTAGACCGGTACGTAGGCCATCTAGTACGGCTACGTCAAAGTCTGAAGATGAATTTTCAAGGACCGATGATCCTAGAACTATTAACAAATTTCGATTACCACTTGCAATTAGAACAGAAAATATAAAACATCATAGCAAAGAAGTTTCGATTATTTCGTCAGCTGATGAATCCAGCGGCACCTCTCTGGCTCTACAAGTTAATTTAGAATCTTCAGAAACATTCACGGAAGGGATTGACTGTTCTGAAGAACAGAATGGGGGAGAACAACTGTTTTACATTCCCATACAACCTGGAAAGCAGAACGTCATTCAAGGAGTTGCCGTGAAACTAGGCACTGAAGGTCCCAATCAAAAGGTGGTAATGAAAGCAAAACTAGTGACTCAGACACAAACACAACTTCATAAAACAGAAGACAAGGCTAACTCGATGTTTCCACCTTCTTGTCAAAAACCAAAATCATTCGAAGCAAAATCATTTCAAAGATCAAAATCTTCTGATGATGACTTTAAATACAAAGTACCGAGTTCTCCAAGTGCTAGTTCATCATCCAGTACAAAAGTATGTAAACGTACAGTGGCAAAAACTAGAACAAAAACTGCAGAAGTGATTTGTACTCCCACCAAAGTAGTTGACTTCCCAACTACTTCTGATCTACCCCAAGTTGTAGAAGCTCCAGTATTTTATCCAAATGAAAAAGAGTTCCAAGATCCTTTGGAATATATAGAAAAAATAAGGCAAAAAGCTGAAAAGTTCGGCATCTGTCGTATAGTACCTCCAAGTACTTTCAAACCAGAATGTAAAGTTTCTGATGAAATGCGGTTCACTGCATACAACCAGTTGGTTCACAAAATGTTACATCGTTGGGGTCCCAACTTAAAAGAGCTTATGGCCATCAAGAAATATCTTCAGACTCAGAGCATTAATCTTACTCATCCTCCTTGGGTTAGTGTTATTGTTAATAAATAATATATACATATTAAGTAAAAACACTAATATTCACTTTTATTGTAGATCGGTGGAATAGAAATAGATCTGCCCCGATTATATCAAACAGTGCAGTCACTTGGGGGATTGAAAGAAGTCATAGAGAAAAAGAAATGGCCGAAAGTTTCTGAATTAATGAGAATTCCAAAATCAGCTCAAGACAGGGTCACCAAACTAGATGACATCTATTGTAAATATCTTTTACCCTATGACACCTTGTCGCCAGGTATGCACTTAAACTTTATGATTAGAATGTACCTATCAAAATGTGTACCTAGTACTGATATTTAACCACGCCCATTTTTGCAATTAGAAAGTTCCCTTTTCTGTTTAAGACATTTTAATGGTCAGCTAATTCCAGCATATTGTATCGTTAGCTATCTTAATTGCTTCGACTTAAGTTACAATCGAAAAACGTATTTTTTGTCGTTTTCATTCTGTATTATTATATATAGAAGAAATAACGAGTGCTGTCAGCACAGGGTGAAGTAATAAGTAAATGCTGAGGTGTACGATGTGTTGCATACCTACTTACAAACAATTTCTTTAAATTCAATTTTTCAAACAATTTTTATCACAAAGAAAATGATTAAATAAATTGTTAACAAAAGTTAATTTCAACCACTCGAAACAATAGTGCTAACAGTTTCGTGCTCACAATGACTGATAAGGGGGAAGAACTAATAAGGGAGCAATTAATTTGTCAGAAAACAAAAAAGGCGCTTTTAAATAAAGGGTTGAAAGTACACACTGACAATTACCAACTATAAAATTTTTCTAACTGTTAGCATTTTGGTACCTTCAGCTAGCTTAATAAGAAAGAAATTAATTTATTAGAAAATAAATGGACGCTTTCAAATAAAGGGTTGAAAATGTGCCCTGACAATTTCCAACTACAAAATCCTTCTCACTGATAGCCCATAACAATATTAATGCATTTTGATACTTTCAGCTAGTTTAATAAGAGGGAAATTAATTTATTCGAAAATAAAAAAGAGGCTTTTATATAAAGTGTACGATGTGTTGCATACCTACTTACAAATAATTCCTTTAAATTCAATTTTTCAAATAATTTTTAACACAAAGAAAGTGATTAATTAAACCACTTAATACAGTCAAACCCTACTCCTTTAAAAGTAAAACAAATCGCATTTTACACATCTTTTAACGACCAATCAAATGTGGCACAAGTATACAAACCTTCTTATACTAGAAAATTATTATACAGTACATCTTTTTGTAAATAATTTAGCTGAACGTGAAAAGTTATTTGATGAAGTTGAAACGGAATGGGCGAAACGGGAATCGCGGGTGTTGCTTAGAACCCAAGAAAAGCTGGATAATAGTGATAACGCATCTAATCAGTCAGATCCTGAAAGCGACGACGAACTCGATGAGTGTATCGTCAAAGGACGTAATATGGCACTGAATACGTTCTTTAGGATTGCCAGGAACACAATGAGCATGTGGTTTAAAGCCGCAGATCCTTCAGCTCAAGAAGTAATTACATAAGAAATTAAATAATTTGACGTCTTTTTGTTAATCCTCCTTATATTTTGTTACATAGGTTGAACAAGAATTTTGGAAACATGTAAATACAAGGCAGTATCATATCTGTGTCCATTCAGGCTCAATAGACTCTGGAAATTGGGGTTACGGTTTTGCAGTCTCAAAAAATAGCCCATTTGCTCGTCATGCTTGGAATTTAAAGGTTCTGACTAATAACAGTGGTTCAATTCTCCGATCAATGGGACCTGTCATGGGTAAGTTTTTCTGTTTATATGCATGGTTTTTTTCACACTATACAAATTATGGTCGCGTAAAGATAAACACATAATAGTTTACACATATTTTTATTAATTTAATAATTTTTTCTTTATATATATGTTTTTTTAGTGACCTATCTTTTTAACAAGTTTTATGTACTAGTTTATCCCTTTTTCTATTTTAACATAAATTTCTTAATCAGTTTATTAAATTATATCGTTGTGTAAGAAATTTTATTTTGTACTCTTTAATAGGAGTGACTGTACCCACTTTACACGTGGGCATGGTGTTTACCGGTTGTTGCTGGTATCGGGATCCCCATCATCTTCCTTGGATCGAATATTTGCATACCGGGGGCAGTAAAATCTGGTATGGTATCCCAGATTCTATGAGTGACCAATTTCGGACCACTGTAACTAACCTGGTGCCAAACTATTGCCATAACAAGACCATTTGGCTCCCCTCTGATACCGCAATGGTACCGCCAAACATTCTGGTAGAAAATGGTGTGTCACTCTGTAGAACTGTCCAGGAACCCGGACACTACATAGTCGTTTTCCCTAAAGCATTCACATCTAATATTTGCACCGGTTATGTAGTCTCAGAAAGTGTTTATTTCGCTCCCGCCAGCTGGCTTAAAACTGCCCAGAAAGTAAGTGAAATGGTAAATATTATGAAGTAACTTTTACATTTATTGATGACAATTAACAGGTATTTGAACACATGAAGAACAGCTGCGAGCCTTCCATGTTCTCCCTAGACCAGTTAATTCTTAGTATTGCAGCAGATAGTCGATCTCATGTTGATGTTTTGAAGCAAATCGTCCCCAAAATTCAAGATCTTTGCAAGCGTGAAATTACCGAAAGAAAAAAGTTGCAAACTTTGGGTCTTATTAAGCTTGAAAAAGTGCCAAAACCGGAAGCTGTGGGAGCAAGAAGACGAAGAAAAATGCAAAATGAAAGCGGAGATTATGAATGTGAAATTTGTCGAACAAACCTTTTTGTCTCATGGGTATTTATTTTTCATGTTTCACCTTATTTGATCACATATTAATTGTCCTTTTTTGAAGGTTATTGAAAATCAAGAAGACAGTATTTATTGTCTAGAGCATGCCATCGAAAATATTGAAAAAAAGAATATGGACGTTAGCAATTGTAAGCTCATGTTCACATATGATGACGATGAAATAAATGGATTGGTTGAGAAAATAGAAAATAACATAATGAGCAAATTGAACAAGAAATCGGGAGGTAAAACGGCGAGCACCCAAGCGACGCAGTAAGTATTTGCAATCGAAATTTCGAAGTGGCGCTAAGATCTGTGTATTTATAACGTTTGCAATTTATTAACATAAAAAGACACGTAGAAGAATCTATATTTTTGTAGGTTGAGTTTCAAATTTATTTATTGAAAAAGAAAATTAAGTACCAATAGTGATATTAGTTTCTGCTTTTTAAAAAAGAAAATGTTTGCTTGTTTGAATAATAAAAGTGATAAGAAAAAATCGCTTTTGTATCACTTCGTAAGAAAAATCCAATAGATTAATTATTTCATTTATTAATTTAAAATTAAATCTATTCCCTGTGCATTGCAAAATTGTTTAACAGTAACAACTTTATAGAGAGGCCTTAAAATTAATTTGAAATAGCAAGCATAAGGTGAAGAGATAGTTTATCATACTGAAAGATAAGTTATGAAAATATCAACATTTTTTAAATGTATCCCTAAAGCTACAATTTTTAATGAAATTCAAGAATATTATGATTAAAATATTACTTTGAGATTTCTAATAAATTTAAATTTTTATCTGAAATTATTAATATCTAAAAAAAATCTTACAATTTTTATCGCTAAAATTTACAGTACCTAAATAAATTTAAGTATCTCAAATACAAGATTGAAGAAGAACAGCTAATACAGGCATAATTATTTACTAATTATTAACACAAGCAGAACAATAAATACTGATTTTGTTCGTATAACCTTGCAACAAAATGAAATTTAAACTTAACAAAAACGCGATTATCTTTAACTATTGCTACAGTATAAATAAATGCAAAATATCTTTACAAAGCTGAAGGTGTAAAGATAAGTAAAAATAATACTTTCCGTTAACTATTTTTTATTTGATGTAATAAAATCACCCTGATGGGGAAGAAATATTAATCACCTTTCTCGTCGGTGTAAAACGTTAAAAATTACATTCGAATCGCTTCCTCCTTGCTCACTATCACTGTCACTAGTAAGACTAAAACGTTCTATATTGTTGACCAAAGACTCGTTCAATTCGTATCTTTCCAACCCCATTTTATACACCCTATTGGGGTTGTGATATCGAATCATTTTAATTTTATGGATCACATGACTAATTATACCACTAAGACACACTACAAGACCCAATATATTTATGGGGGACAGTACATCACCATTCCATTTCACAGCCGCAATCAACATAAAAATCTCCTAAAAATTAAATCTTCATTTGAAAAAGAAACAAACCTAGTTACTGAAAACATCAGAGCATATTGTAATAAAACATTAATGAAAGATTAAGTTGTTAATTCGCCAGGCTTCAAAGATTATCAATTTATGAGACTGATAAGTACTACTCACTTTAAAAATACCTGCTACAGATAATGTAAGACTAGAGGTGTACATAACAACCATGACTTCGCTCAGTTCCATTAAAAAGGCAATAAATGCCCCCAATAACACTTTACTGGTCACACTTATTAAAACTTCACGATCTGATATGCGAAATACTTGGCAGCTGGATATTAATGAAAGACCTGAAAAAGAATAACTAAATTAGTAAAAAATAAAAAACAGAAATCTACTAAATGAAATAGCCAGGTAAGCATGGGTGGTCTGCCCCCATAGCATAACACTGTAATCACAGTAGAGATAGACACTTGAATGTAATTATATAGTTAAATGATAAGCTCAGTGCAGGATACCAGAAAGGCTGAGTAGGCGCTAAACTATGAAAAAAAAAAAAATAGACTATTAAACTGAAAGTAATTTCAATGAATCATATTAAAAAGCATTTGCATTTGTGTTGCTATAAAGAAAAGTCATTTTGTATGATTAATAATGCAGGACAAGGGCCACAAATAAATATTAGCAAGTCTAATATTTTTTATGCAAAGTTTTACTTCTTGCACTTAATTATACTGACAATAGAGTGAATTTTGCACATGTTAACAAGTAAAATATGTTTGCATTTATTTTAGCTAAAATATTCAACATTTTTCTTTCATTTATTGCTATTACTGTCCAATATTTTATTTCAAATTATTCTCCTTAAACATATCTACAACAGATTGTTTATAAAAATTAATTCAGTAATTAATGATTAAAAAAATGCATATAAAATAAAACATATTTCTTTCACTTGTAAGCCTGTACAATTTTTAGTAATTAAACTTGAGTTGATTAAAATTTTACCTTCTATCCAAACCACAAAAGGAAAAATTGATAAGGCCATCCAAGGTTGCATGTGGTAAATCATATCAATGGGGTTGCTCATTTTGATATGGGACTTTTGCAATAATAACTGCACACAAGTCCATCGGACGCCGCTGGACATGGAGGCAAGAAGTACTAGCACGAATCCAACAATATTAAAGTGGGTTGCTTTATATGTGAACAAAAGTAATCCTGTTGATATCATTACCACTATAAAGCACAAACTCCAAGACTGAAAAAAGCATTTCTTAATCATTTCAGAAACATATAGAACATTAAACAAACCTTTTTCTCCAATTTAAATAGAATAGCAAAGAGAAGAATGAAAATTATAACTGTTGATTTAGTCATAGTATATCTGAAATCATACATTCGTTTATTGTACAAAAATTTATGGAGAATAACTACATTAGTCAAAATCAATGCTGGTTAAACTTTCTAATTTTGCTTTTAGTTGTTAATGATTGTACATAATATGCTTTACAACAAATGCATCATCCAGAGATTATATTTTGAGTAAGACATATGTTGATTAAAAGGAAATAGTTCAAAATATATTTCATTAAAACTCACAAAGAAACTGTGACAAGTTCAAGGCCCCAGTTTGAAAATCCAATATCAATTCCACTGAAGAGTCCTGTAGGAGCAACTGCCACAATATGATCTCTCCAACTTACATGTGCCCGTGGTCTACCACCACAAGTTAAAATAATACGTACAAATGCTGCCAAGAAAAATTTTACAATGAGGTGTATGAAAACCACAGTTAGAGGAAAGTGGAAACTCTAAAATCAAATCTTCAGGCTTACAAAAACAAATAAGAGTAATGCACAAACCTGAAACAGCCATCGTTGGTAAAAAGTTAATCCTATAGAGGGTGCAAAATAGACAGAGATAAGAATAGCAGTTCTTAGAGAATGCCAAAGACAACCAGGTGTTAGGAATTTGCGTTTCATATCTTCTGCCTCTTCTAGATCCTCACCCTGATTATCAACAGCTTGATATTTTATCCTTGAATTTAACATGCTCATTGAAGTGAACTACCACATTCTCGCCTGTTATTGCAAAATATTAGCCGGTATTCAGTTTGTGATCGTGCATTAACTGCCCTGTCGGTATCATTGAACAAATTGCGGAAACAACAAGATAAGAATTATACTGCGTTGGCAAGGTTAAATGCTTTAAACGTCAAAATATTGCTTTTATGAGCATACATGCACAACTGGTTGACAACGTGTAACTGTTTTTTTTTTGTTTATCTCATTGTGGTTAAATGCCAGGTCATTTTAGTCTTATCAACCTCAACATTCAATAAAAAAAGAATTTTCGAAAGGTAAAAGTTTTACAAAGTCAATTTTAGAAGCTTTGGATAAAATAAAGATAATTTTATTATAAGTTTTAAATTTACTAGGATTTAATTTAAACCAGGCTGGTTTGCGAGACTTTAAACACTATAACGTAAACAACCTTGACAATTGACAATAACATAACCTAATTTCAATTCAAACTTCAAACAGGATTTTTTAGAAACAATTTATTTACAAAAACACTTTGAAATGTACATCTAATTGGTTTTGGGGTGTTTATTCCTATGTTGACTTCCTCGAGTACCTCTTGATCGTTTTTGACTATCTTGTATGCTGGTAGCTACCCTAGTTGTATTTGTTGTTTTAACTGATGGGGTAGAATTATTATGAATAACAGTTGTAACAGGAGCTACAGTTGTGCTTTGTGGAAGTGATGACGGTCCTATCCTTCCTGCTCCATTATTCGTTCCATTATTTAAAGGAATGTTTACAGGAATATTGTTAGGCCCCCCACTTGCTGAAGTCATCGCTATCATTTGATTAGGTTCACTCATATTTAGTTGTTCGTTAAAAACCATACAAAATTCACCGATCTTTTGCAAATCACCCCCCTTTGACGTATAAAGAGTTAAACAGTTCCTCCACATCGACACATATCCCTTGGTTAATTTTACTATATCACCAGGAACTAGTAATTGTCCTGCTTCGTCCCAAACACTAGCATTTATACAAGCACTTTGGTCCGCAACTTTAAACGTTCGAACTTCGCGGTTTTCCTTCGTAAGGGTGGGGTGACCGACCTCCAACACAATAAAAATGGCATTTATATTTTTTAAACCCGGACGCATATCTTTGATTTGAACATAATTACTATCCATGTTCATTACTGAGGCTTTATAATTATTTGTAAAATATTTAGATATTCTATAAGGGGCAAACGAAGGTCTTAAGTGTTTATAACCTATACCTTCCTCCCTGAGCGTCAAAAATGAAATGACGCACAAATCTGCACAAATCCTCAACTTCAAGGTTTTGGCCTTTTATCGCGTACTTTTTGTTTCGGTACGTTGGTATTAATGGAATTTCTATAAATAATTACAAAAAGATAACGTTTCTGTATCTTCGTAAACGCCTTATTTTCGGCATTAAAACAATAGTTTACAATAAATATTAAGAAAACACTAATAATTTACAACTAAAATACATTTTTGGCAGGTTATTTTTGCGAGAAAAACATTCATTATAGTGCATTATTAGGGTTGAAATATTTGCTGTATGTTGGGTTGCCTAAATATTATTCCACAATTTGTAGTTCAATATATTATAATAAGAAAAATATAAATTAACATCCCTAACTGCATTTACATGGAACAAATATAATTTAAAAGTAAAAATTTATCATTCTAGATCAATGAAACCTAAATTATAGCTCCGTTATAGTCCTTGTTCTAAATTGTCCCGGCACCTCCACCAAAATTATTTTTTGATAATTGCTAATAATATTTGTGTATTTTCATTAATGTAGTATTTTTAACATTGAAACGATAATTTACAATACAATCTACCTGAACACTCTCGTAATTGACAACTAAATACATATTTAGCACATCTTCTAATACAAATGTGTAAGGGTTTTTAAGCAAATTTTACAAGATGTTTTTAAAAGTATTACTAAGTAATTAATTATTTCTTCGTAATATTTGGCGATTTGTTTGAGGATAGTAATAAGCTTCATGTAAAAAGAATATTCAATGGGAATAAACGTTTTCTAGTTACATTAATAGCGTTTTAAAATTTGCTGTATGTTGGGTTGTCTAAATTTTATTTTACAATTTGTAGTTTAATATATTAGAAAAAGAAAAATTTAAACTAACATCCCTAATGTCATCTATTTGGAAAAAATATAATTTAAAAATGATAATTTAACAGTCTACATCAATAAAACCGTAATTATAATTCAATTATAGTCATTGTTCTAAATCAACTAAAGATGTCTTTAAAAGTATTACTAATTGTAAGTAATTAATTATTCAAACGTAATATTTGGTAGTTTGCTTGATTATAGTACTGAGTTTCACCTAAAAAAGTTATTTTTGTAAGAAAAACCGTTTTGTAATTTTCTTTGTAGTTTTTATTAGCTGCAATATTTGCTGGATGTTGGGTTGTCTATATATTACATTGCAAATTGCGGTTTAATTTGTTGTAAAAAGAAAAATAGAAATTAGGATCTCTAACTGCGTCTAAATGGAAAAACTTTAACTTAAAGATGAAAATTCATCAATTTACTTCAATGAAATCAGAATTTCAGCTCAGTTACTGTCTTTGTTTTTAATTGTCCCGGCGCCTCCACCAAAAGTTTCAATAAAATTGTTTTATATTTGTAAATATCTTCTATTCAACATTGAAACGATAATTTATATAATTAATCGCCAACAACGACCCTAAGGAAGTATTAGCTATTAAAATAAGTAAACCATAAATAAAATTAAAGGAAAGTTTTGCGAAATACGTAGACATAGGTGTAGATAAATGCGGCTTCCAGTCTTTTTTTGAACTTGTGTCCTGATGACGCAGTCTGGTTACGATCCTGTCGTAAATGTGTCACGTAATATACAAAATAATAAGTTTCGCGAACTTTATTTTGGGAAATCTGTTTGGATTTCACACTGTATATACAATCAATACTGCAGTATTCATACTTGGGCAGTTGTTTGAATTTTTTTGTTACCTTCTATGCGCAGAGGGTTGAATTATGCGCACGACAAAATGCCACCATTTCGGAAATTTGCGACACCGCAGTAACGGCGGATCGTCTGGGGGTGTGGGGTGGCAAAATCTTGCTATTTTCCGTACTTATATTGCAAGATGTAGTGATTCCTTGCTGATGCTGCAAGTTTTCCGTAAAAAGTTTTCCGGATAACTGAAACAAAGGTAATTTCCATTTGAGTATGTGGGTCAAAATCGATCTCAAATCGCTCTGCACCAATTTTCCATTCGCTTTATTGTTATCTATCTCTCAACTAAATCATTATTTTGTATGGTTTGGAAAATCGAATCTTCATCTCTGTTAATGAGTAACTACGAATGGAGATAGTAAGTGCGGCTAAATTATTTTGGAAAAGATTTAGATATTTTTGAAAATACGAATGAAAAAGAAAATTCTTTTGTACCATCAATTGAAATTTGATTCGATANCAGCGTTTTCACTAATTCTGATAAGAATATTATCAATAAGTAACATATTTTTTTATTTTTTGTATATACATGAAACTCCATACAAAAATTGTAATTATTTTAAGGTATAACACAGACCATTAATACACTTTAAAGATAAGCACTACGCCTATATTGTCAAAATATTATTTCTACATTTAATGTAATTTAATTTATTAAGCCAGAAGGATTACAAGTAATTTAATTACTTGTAACAATTTATTAAAAACAGTTGTTTTATCCACAATATGTAGATTAATTTCTAAACAACATTTAAAAAGAGGTACAAGTGACAATTTATCGTTAATCAATTTATATTAAATATTATCTATTACTTGAAATAATTTTTGAAAGTTTAGCATTTAGGTACCGACCCTTATGCATCTTTTAAAGTGGCACGATTCATATAATCAGTATGCACCACCAATTTATGTACGTATGTTCGGTAAATCTGATAAGTTTAAGTTTCATGTCTAATTTTTCGAAATTAAAGTTTCATGATTTGAAAAGATTTACATAGAACGTTATTTTATTGGTTGCATGATCCATGCAAGGTAGTTTGGTATGGGCAAAATGACGCAGTGTTGGCAAAGGGCATTTACGATTAGAACACGCATCAGGAAAAGGGTTTTTGGAAAAACTTCTCTCATTGTAATAAAATCAAAAATAAATTGATCTATAAAAAGGAAAAAAGGCGCATTCATACAGAAATCGTGTATCATCATTGCACTTTGTTTTTGCTTACTGTAAACCTGTCTTGTTACAGTTATGGAAATACAACCAGAAGGTAAAAATTTTCGGTTAGTTAAAGAAGAGGAATTTTCAGAAATATTGTCTTTTTTGGAAAAGTTTCTGCCAGATTCGTTGAAGGTAAATAATAATTTCCCGATCAAAATTTTGACCCCCCTTGATCGATCTACGCTTCTTAATCGTAAAATAATTTAATAAACAAACGAAAGAGAACCAAATCGGGGCAATTTTTCATAATAATTATGGACGAAAATTTTCTGGCAGCGACTAAAATAGAGAAATGGGAAATTATTTTTTTGCTTTTAAAATTACTTTTATTTATCACATGAGAAAAACGTAATAAATAATAGTATAGAACGTGTTAGGATTTGTTTTAAAAACACATTTCTTACTAATTTACTTGTGGGAAAAGCTATTTTAATTAATCATTTCAATTGTTGTTTATAGTTTCATCAAACACTGAAGACTTTTATAAACGACAAAGTGTGGGATTTTCATTTTTATGTATCGAAATCATGGCCGGAAGTAACTGTTTTACTCCATTTTCCTGGAGTTACGAAAACGGTAATTTCATCTTGTTTTTATTAAGTATTATATATTTACTGTAAGCATTTATTTATTTTTTGTAATGAAAGAGAGTTTTTTCTTTTCTTTTTTGAAGCCTAATGGAAAACTTTACGAAAGCTTTAGTGTTTTTTGTCCATGTGATCGATTGGAACAATTGGAGGAGTTAGAAAACGAAGACATTTTGATCGATTGGACCGAACCGATTTATTTGAATTTCACACATGAGCTGGTGCTAGAAAAAATCGAAAAATTTTATTCTCATATCGGAGCTTTAGAGAAAACTTATGGCGAAGTCTTTGTGTTAACGTCGGATGTACAGGGTGAACAAATTACGACGACAACGTGAGTATAATCAATTTTCATTTTATAGTCAAAAATCTTCAATAGCGTTTCTCTCTAAATTCTATCCGAACCATATTTACATCCAGTATTTTTCAAAAATTCTGATTTTATTTTTTATTAAGGATGCTCGCAGCATTTGTTCGTTGTTTGCAAATAATCTTAAAAACAAAAGATAGAACAGAAACAATAGATACTGAAAAGTCAGTATATATCTGCAGTTGTTTTTCTTTTTTGTTTTAAATTTCCCAGTTGTTTTAAAGAAGATGCAGAAATTCGTCAGTTGACGAAGGAAAACGCCCTTACGATCCACGATTTGTACCCTGCAAACCACATGGAATCTATCGAAGTGTTCGAAAGACTCATCGAAAAGTTACCATGTTATGGTATGTTTTCGAAGGATGGTGAGTTAGCAGCGTGGATGGTACAGTCGTATTATGGGGCGATGTTTTCCATGCAAACATTACCAGAATTCCGAAGGAAGGGTTATGGTATAGTTTTAGCAAGACATTTGACGAAAAAAGTGTTAGATAGGAATTATTTGCCTTTTGTTATTATTCGACCCGAAAACGATGCTTCCAAAAGTTTGTACACCAAGTTGGGCTTCAGCAAGAGCTTTAATATGATACGAGCCATTTTAACGCCATTTTCAAAAGAAAATGGCACGCAAAATGGCGAAAACGAAAGCGAACACCCCCCCAATTAATCCAATAACAAACTATATCAAATAGATAAAAAAAAAAAGCAAAGAGTTCAAAATTTCTGCAGCAGGCAGCTATGCTTATTATAATACCTACCTACAAAAATATAATAATATACTTATTAATTAAAATTATTTAATTGTAAATCTATAGAAAAAAAGGCACAGATATTTATGGAATTTCTTCTTTTTCTATTACATAATTTTTAATATTATGTATTTTTCACTAACTTTACAATTCGTCGTTGGGGATTGGTGCTCCAGTAGTGCATATTTTAATATCTAATCAAAAAAAAAAAATAATCGATGAGTCACATTTAATGATAGATAAGAATTTTTTATGCTTCTGTTCGAGACTTTAGCTAGTTGAATTGAAAATATAAATTTTGTAATTTTATAGTTTTTTTCTAGCACCCTTTAAATGTTAAAAGTTAGCTAAAGTAGAAAAAACAAATGAAACATATGAAAAAAAAAATAAAGAAGTTACGAAAGAAACAAAGAACAGTAAATTGTTAAATAAATGCTAGTAGTGTTCTCGTATTCTTTTTTTTTATTCTCTAAGTCTTCCAAAATGCATGATTAGATATAATATAAGTTCCATTACTAATTATTTTTATAATGGTAAGATTTTCTAAGTTACGCTATGAGTAGATAACATTTTTATAAACATTATTGGGCACAGAAAAACATTTTCCACAACTTTCTTAAAACAAAGAAAATCAGTGAATATTGGAATTAATAAAAGAATTCCATTGCTATAAATCTTCATTTATTTACAGCCTAACAATGAAAAGTCACATTGCTGGTATTCATCTGGAAGTTAATTTCCATAAAGGAAAAAAGGAAAAGCTTTTTATTAATCCTTAAAGAATTGATTTTACTTTGATAACTCTTACATAATGGAACAAAACAATAATTATTGACCATGTTAGGAATCATTTGGTTCTTTTAATTATTAAGATTTTATAAGATTTAAGGGTTTATTGTTTATTATTAGGAAATATTTTCTAATTTAATAAGTATAGTTTTAATCTTCAAAAAATGTGAGAGTTAGGCAACTTCATATACAGGAGTACTCGGCAGTTGCCTAGCAGTCAAGTGTATTTTTGAATTATCTTTTGTCTAACATCGACTTTGACCCTTTCCAAATTGCATTAATTATTAGGTAATTAAGAATTTCAAACGATCGATAAAAGAATTAGTAACCTTGGTTAAATTGCCATCAAAATTTGAAATTATATTACATGAATAGACGTCCAACGTTAATTATTTATTTACTTTTCCAACTTTTCAAAAACTAATTGAACAAATTCAAAATTTGAAACTGCGAAAACAATGAAGACAATAGACAAAATTGAAAGATTCTCTTTTATTGAATTTGCTTCTTTTATTTATTAAGATTTTATAAGATTTATGAGTTTATTGGTTATTATTAGAAAATACGTTCTAATTTAATAAGTTTAATTTCAATCCTTAAAGTAATTTGAAAGAGTCACATAACTTCGTTTACATTTATAAATAGTCAACTGTATTTTTCCAACTTTTCAAAAACTACTTGAACAAATTCGAAATTTGAAACTGCGAAAACAATTTAGACAATTGCCAAAATTGAAAGATTTTCTTTTATTGAATTTGCTTCTTTTATTTATTCAGATTTTATAACATTTAAGGGTTTGTTGTTTATTATTAGGAACTATTTCCTAATTTAATAAGTATAGTTTTAATCCTTAAAGAAATTTGAGAGTTAGGCAACTTCATATACAGGGGTACTCGGCAGTTGCCTAGCAGTCAAGTGTATTTTTGAATTATCTTTTGTCTAACATCGACTTTGACCCTTTCCAAATTGCATTAATTATTAGGTAATTAAGAATTTCAAACGATCGATAAAAGAATTAGTAACCTTGGTTAAATTGCCTTCGGCAATTTCGAATTATATTACATGAATAGACGTTCAACATTAATAATTTATTTACTTTTCCAACTTTTTAAAAACTAATTAATCAAATTCAAAATTTGAAAAATTTAGTCAACAAAATTGAAGAATTTTCTTTTATTAAATTTGGTAATAACTGTATTTTTTAAAGATACAACTTTTTTTTGTTCAGATTACATATTATGTAGATACATACTGTATTTATACATATTACAGCCTGCTTCGTCCTTCATCTGTATTTATCACGTTATTATAACCAGATACAGATAGATTACGTAATAAGCCTATTATTTAAAAAAGAAGCTATTACATCTATAACGCGAAAGGAAACGTCTAGACTGGTAAAAGTTGTTCAACTTGACATAATATGTCTTGAGAAAGTTAAAATTTTATATAATTAATACTCAATAATAATACAAAAGCCTCACAATTGCAACTGCTCACATAAAATACTATAATAAAGCACGTGTTGTGCCTTATCGTAATAAATGATAATGATAGGTAGGATAAATAAATAATTGATGCGATAATAGGTAGTTCGTTTTACAACTAATTGTAAAACAAGGCAGTGTTGCTTTATTTAGTAGCAAAAATTAATTATGGATGTGGTAAAACAATAAAAAAAACGAAAAAAAATTTTTGAAACAAAAGGTGTTTCATCGGTGACTAAGCAAAATTTAGCAACAGCAAGTAATGGAGAATAAATTGAAAATAACCAGGAATTCTAAGGTTATTTGCATAAAATTTAATGTCAACGAACATAGAAATACTATTTTCGTAAAACTTTTGGACCAAATTTTAAAAATATAACTCAAATTTATTATCCTGAATAGTATACATATATACAATGTAGTACACGCGACGTGTATGCCATTTCCTGAAAACATTTTATTGCGAACACTTCTCTACAGATACACGTTCATTGTGTGTAAATAAAACCTGCCACTGTTGCCACAAAACATTTGCTACTAATTGTCTAAAAAAAGTACTAATTGCAATTATAAATGAAAACCGTACTTCAAACATAATTAGCCTTCACCAAGTGCACACACGTGAATAATTATTAACAATACTGACAAAAATCAATGCTTATAAGTCAATTTTACGGTTTTAATTTTACATTTTCTGAAAGTAACCAGTAATTTCAAACCAAGTAATTAAAAAGTTATTATCTTAATTCATTGTTAGTGTCATAATTGAAACATCGCTTAAGAGAATTAAATTAAATTTGTTGTAATTGGAATGGTCTGGCAACGATGCAAAAGGTACGAAGCCTTGTGATTGGTCAATATAGTTCATTCTCGTGTGATTGGATTGGCATTTAATGTATGTGTAAATGTTTATCTTTATATACTTGACCTTAGTTTCTGAACTATTTGCCATTGTGAAATAAAAAACTATAGTATTATATTTTAACAATATTCAGTGTTTAAAATACTTTTTGAGTGTTCAAAATCGTTGGTAATCGTTGAATGACATTACTCGTGTGCAATTAAAATATGATAATATTGGGATCGCAAACTGTCATGGTTCCACAATAGTATGATGTAGCATGATGAAAGAAAATGTGATTGTCAAGAACAAAAACAGTGAGTTCGTTCGTGTTTTAATTTAATTCGTTAATATTAACAAAAAGAAACGACTGACAAGTGAAATTGAGTGCGATTTTACATTTTACAAAGTAAGTTTTGTTTTGGTTTTGTTTTCTGTTTACAACTCTGACGTTGTGCAATATGTGAATGCAAATTACTAGTTATTTGCTTGTTTTTGTTTTGATGTAGATTAGCGTCATTGCAAAAACATCATACGAAACAGTTTCATTTCCCATAAATCTTACATTATGACGACTAGGGTTTTTCTCCAATCGAAAATGAAAATCACAAATATCTTGACGTAATTTTAGGTTAAGTATTCGCTAGCTGGTTTGTTTTTATTTTGGTTTAAATTCCGTATATATCAAAACAAACAGCTATCGAACTAACAATTATTGTTTTGATGTAATGTTTACATTATTTAGTTAATAACAAATGAATCACGATAATGAATGGATTGTTTTTAATTAGCTACCTGTAATGAAGTTCACATTTTTAGTATAATTCTAACAATAAGTGTCGAGTCACTTATCAAATTTTAATTAACTTTATTCTGATTATTTTTTATTAATTTTCTATTGTTATTTTTGTACCTTCCCACATATATCTTCTTGTCCTTCGAGAATAACTAAAAAACTTGGCTAGTAGGCACTTGGGCTGAATATTTGAAATTTAAGCTTCTAACAGTGATAACTTAATCAGTTCCTATTTCTTCAAATTGATAAGGACTTTATCAGTCAAAAAGTAAGGTCAACTGTATACATATAACATTGGAAGCATGCCTTGATACGTTTAAGACACATTATGTAATTTTTTTTAATTTAAATTATAGTAGTAAACTCAAAATGTTTAGTAATCCTTGCTTCTTAGATTATTTACAATTGACCATACTTTTCCTTTTCATTTGTTATATAATAAATGATTATTGTTTTTTCTTATATAAAAACGAACAGAAAAAAATTGTCATAGAAAACAGTTATTATTCAAAAAAATAATTTAGCCTAGAGCCAGTTGTTTTCACCTTATTAGAATTTTAATTGTTTTACATTAAAAACTGGATAGGTATTAGTATGTTCTATTTGTTTGGATGTTTGGGTATTTGTTTTGCAACTATATGCCAAAACGATGACCAAAATGAATTAAAATGTCTAGGCTAATTATAAATTCATTGAAACCATACACATTTAAATGAAGTACATTAAAAAATATTTACGATTTGTGAAAGTATAAAAAAGTTTCGCTATTTTCATCAATGATTTCTTATAGGTCATTGAGGGGCCATTATTCCCATTATGTGGAACATGCGCCTGCCATTTTGATTTACATTTAATAGTCGCCATATTGACCACGTGTATCTTTTTTTAATGATAAGAAGAACAAAATATCAAAGTACAGAATCGTCGTCATACATGTAGAAAGTTGTTTATACAATATATAATCTTTCTTTTCATTTTTTGTTAAGATTTTAAAACTTGTATACAGTACAATTGTAATCACCAAAGTGAGATTTTTTTATCTCGAAAACCTGATTGGTTATTAAACTTTTGAGATTAGCACATTTGCGATCAGTCCTTCCATACGACGAGATACTTAAAACAAAATTAAAACTTTTAAGTCCCCAAAAAACGTGTCTAAAAATAAGTTTTTAAATTATTTGTCTGGCGAGGACGATAAAGTAAAATTATGGTAGGTAACCGTTTCATTTTTAGTAGCACTAGAAACAAATTTTTATATAAGCAGAAAGTTATTCTATTTAAAATATACTTTTTCTGTAAACCGTCACTATCAAGATACAGTATCTGTCATTTCGATATGTGCAGCGTTATCTTTTCTTTGTACTAAATTCTTTTGTTTATTTTGTTTTTTATTAGCATCAAAAAAAGAAAATAATTCTTTATTTTTTGTTTTCATTTAACATGCATCTTAGGATTTATTTATGTCACTGCGGGTAACGTCACTGTTCGGCCAATATGGCTATCAACCGCCATGATAGTCTCTATAGCGTAGACTTGAAAATTTTTAATTTCGAGCTACATTTAATTTTAAAAACTTGAAAAGAAATTTTGTTGCTTCTATTTATGAAAAATTATTTTTAGATTGACATCCAGTTATGTCCAACTTTACCGGAAACTATTTTATGGATCCGGGAATAACTATAAAGCAGGAACCAATGGGGATAGATAATAACATAATTAACACTTCGGCCAGCGTCCCCATCCCAGGGAAACGTACATTAGAATCGTACGGGCTCAAAACCTTCGGTTTGGACATCGAGTCCACGTCTCCTCAACAAGATTACACTACATTTGGAGTGAACCAGGCGAATTTGGACAATTCAGACATGAATACTATGTGGTCAACGAGATTTGTTAATCTAGATGAGGACATCGCGAAAGCCGAGGCGACTTTTATCCACATGGACGAGGACGACATATTTCAAGTGGATAAAGCTGACCTCATCCAAGGTCCCACGCTAGCCGAACTCAACGCCAACGACGAAAACTTCCTTGAAGATCTGAATTTTGACGATTTATTGTTACCAGACGAAAAAGGTTTCCATTACTCTCAAAACGACGCTCAAAAAACACTCCCATCGTTGCACATTTTAGAGAATCCCACGATAACTAATCAGGATAGCACCGGATCTTTTTCGGGCTCGATATTTACCAGGAACGGCGCAAATTTCGGCACCAACAACAAGAAACCGGTTCCCGCTTTCTCTCCACCTAGTCAAGGAAGTTCCAACTCTTCAATCCTCCAATCGTTATCCTCGCCACCTCAACAGCAAATGAAGCACAGTACGCTGCACGAACTTCTTGTCAAACAAGAAGGCTACAGTGTTTCGCCTGGTAATAGCAACTGTTTACTGGGACAGTCCGTTCCAGAAGAGAGCAGCAGCAGCAATATACTTAGCCCCCTGGGGGTGAAAGTGATCAGGGCCCAGAACTCTTCTAGGCTTTCTTCATCTGCACCAACGCATTTAGGACTCGAACAAATTTGGCAGAGGAGGGAACCGAGGAAACACTTGTTGTCCACTAGCTCGCTTGTCGAAGCTGGATCCACTTCTTCCTTGTCCACTGGTGGGGTTCTTAGTCCTGAAGGACACGATTTCTCGCAGGACGAGTACGATAGTGAAGAGGACAGCGAACATTATGAAGATTACTCTTCTGATAATGGTAAGTAAAATTTGTTTTGTTCGAGTTACTTTTATAAAACATTGATTGCAGTTGGACACTTCATAATGACACATTTAATAAGTAATTCATGATAATGTGCATACGTATGTATAGTTTTTCCTGAATAATTTAATACTTCAGTACCTACGTCATCGTAAACATTGATAAAAACAGGTAAATAATTGTATGGCTTTCAGAGATATGATTAAATACGTAATGAAGTGTGTTTGTAAACAAAAAAGAGACAACACGTACAACAAAAATATTAAAAGCTATTTATTATTCATTCCTTTCTTATTTCTAATTAAGTTTGTTAAGAATCTGAATTTTTTCTTTTCCTAGATTCAGACGATGATGGGGAAAATAAAACTCGCAAAGGTCACAGTTCTTCGAAAAAAGAACGACACTTTTGGCAGTACAACGTCCAAGCTAAAGGGCCCAAAGGTCAACGATTGGTAATGAAAACCAAAATGGAAGATCCTCACGTTTTACACGAAATCACCGATCCCGTTTTCTCTTCCGATTGCTCCGTTAGGGGTATAAAACATAGCGGCAAAGCAAGGAAAGGCGACGGGAACGATTTAACCCCAAATCCCAGAAAATTATACAACATTGGCAAAGAATTGGATCGACTTGGTCACACGATTAACGATATGACACCAGTCAGCGAATTACCCTTCAATGTACGACCGAAAAGTCGAAAAGAGAAGAACAAATTGGCTTCCAGGGCTTGCAGGCTCAAAAAGAAAGCCCAACACGAAGCCAATAAAATAAAATTGCAAGGTCTTGAAATTGAACACAGTAAGTTTGAAAATTCTTTTTAATAAATGCTAAATACTGTTATCTAATGTAGGCAACCCGGATGCTTCTTCGCGTATAGTGGGTTGCCTGCGCGTATTATTATAGTATATTAATATAATAAATGTAAAACTATAAATGATGGTGGTATAATTATTCTGTTACAGAGAGGCTTATAAATGCCATTATCCAGGTTAAACGAGTTATAGTGGTGAAATTGAACGAGCCAGTACAAGAAAATCAAGAAGAATACACAAGACACTTGAATAAAATAGTAAAAGCAGCAACAAGTGGGTATCTTTTTTAAAATCGCATTAAGTGCACTTTAGAATAGTTTAATTAAACAATAGACAAAAATATATTTCACTGCAAAAATAAATAGAGCCACTTAAAAATAAACAAAATCGATTTTTAATAAATAGGATTAAAAAATTGCTTCATGCTTTACTGCTAATAGTTTTCATTGCAAGTCGCTCTAATGTATTTAGTTTATTTGCATCAAACTTATTATTGTTGTTTAAACTGCTATTAAACTCGTTTATCTGATTTTAATAAGAAATTTATGTGTTTTAGAGAATAAAATAGCTGGTGAATCGACAGAATACGTGAACAGAGTTCTGGAGAGGGTGAAGGGGGGCATGCCAAGTGGTGTATTAGAAGAACACTAGGCCATTTAACATTTACAAATTTGAAGTAAGATACGCTTATCATTATTTTTTCCTACATTCAAATTTGTTTTTATTTTACTGTACATTAATATATTAATATTAATACCTAACATAATAATAATTAATATAATGCGACCTTACGTTACAAATATTCACAAGCATGCATTGCAGTTATTATTTTAAAAAATAAAACTCGACAGCCTATCGTTAGATATATCTGAGTAAAATAGAACGGAGAATATTGTACATAAACTTGACCCAGAGTACTAAAAGTACTTTATTTTTTAAATGAACATTTTTATACTTATCAATAGTAAATAATAATATCTAATAATTATCGCAAATTATTCAGGTGATATAAAGAACGCGTTAGACTGTATTTTTTATGTAGAGGTAGCATTATTGTCTATAAATATCCACTTGTAGGGTATGTAAGTATAAACAAAAAGGAAAACGAATTTTATATATCTAGAGGTTCTCTTAAAAACAAAAACAGCATATTCATGCCTCCATCCCCATTTGTTAATTTTCTCAGGGTGAAATCTATCTTATTTTTGATATACAACCGTTTATAGACAGCCCAAGTTATAAAATGCAGAATGTATTACAAAAATCACACAATACATCATTAAATACCAAACCTACGGTTTAAGAAAGTTTACTTTGCACCGGTGCAAGGTAAAATAAATCAGGCTCCCTATTAAAAGAAAAGTTTTTTGTCGTATTGTTTATTTGATGGTGCATTTAAATAAACAGTACGATTACACATCTTATATAAAATCTAAAGGCAATTTTTAATTTATATTGAAACACCAGCCCTGTTTTTATTGGAGGTATAAAGGATGGTTAGTAGATGGAACTTATACTCCTCAAATACCTGCAACCATTCATTCATTCATGTATAAATTAATATCTAAACTCGGGACATCTACATCAATAAAAATAATGTTACTGTTGCCAGTTTTAAGTATACTAACATGTAAAAGGGCCAAGGCCGATAAAATTATGAAAATTTCCCCAGTAACATTAAGATTAATAAAAAAAAAGACGTATTAGAAATACTGTTACGGGGGCCAGTTTCATACTCTTGTCCACCCTACCCTTTTATTATTATTTACACTGGCAAACTTGTATCTTTCATACCTACACCTACCTGAAAAATATTGGTACTTTTTTGTGATTCCATTTTCTAGTTTTTATTGCTTGTTTTCGAAACCGATTTTATATAAATTTTGTAACAAACATTTTTATTTTCTATTGATTTGCATGGTAATGATGATTTTAGGAATGATCTATTTTATAGAGGCTGTTCAGTTCAGTTCAGTCTCCATTAGTAGATAATTTTGCTGCCTTTGCATTTATAGAGGAGCTGCTAAAACATTCAAAAATTATAACAGTTCCTAGTAAATGTTTCTTAAAAATATACAAAAATTTGCCTTGAGAATTTGTATTTCGCCACGTGAATGTTTATTTTTTCATTGAAACTTTAATATTTTACTTACATGATAGAGAGTAGAAAATGTAAAAAAAAAAGAAAATAGTGTTAGTACAGAATAAAATGGTGCACCATTTATTAAAGTGTCTATTTTTGAAATAGGCAGTTTGTTCAGAGTTCATGTTATATATTTTATATTATATTATACTATTATGGTTACAATCATGTTGAGTGTTTTATATTTTTGGAAAAATCTCCCAAATTCTAGCGTTCTAGTTTTGTTTATTTAATTACGTATATTCGAGGTGATTTAAAAAAACTTCCTGGTTTTCTTTTTACTATTGCATTTCTTTTATTATTTATTTTTCATTTGTAAAACGCACAGATAAAGGTGAAAATTTGTTTGGGAGATTTGGTTTCGAGTTGGTTACGTGTTCTGTGATTTGTCGCAAAGTTATTTAGCTGCATAATTTATGTAGTATTGTGTAAGATGTTACAGATGAGGTTTAAATAGAGTTTAAAAGGTGTTTTTAGTGCCAGATAGATTTAATAAGCCTTAAACATGCTTTAATTACAAAAATACTGTTCAGGAAATTTTATCCTTTAGATTTAGACAGTATATTTTTAAAAAGTTTCAAAAAATATCGTACCACTTTTTTTATATTGCAAAACATATAAAACTTTCCTGAAACAAAATAAGCATTTCGACCATTATAAGAAATTAAGAATTGGTGAGATTATTGAATTAAGTGTATTAATTTATGAGAAGTTCCAGATGTTTTGAATATTCTTTCAGTTACTTCAAAGAACCACAGTAAGTGGTTTTTAGAAATTCATCATTAAAATATAGTACATATTATCAAAATATTTGGAACCTTTGTACATAAGACATTGTCAGTGTCAAACCAATTGTCGTTGAATGTTGGTTTCAATGATGATTTCAATATTAATAGAATTGTTCGAAAAGATTTTAATATTCGTAAAGCATGTGTAAAAGCTAGTGTTTAGGATAGTTGTTTACTTAAGTTTTGTTCTAATGTATTTCTATGTGATATTTTAGTTTCGTTTTGCCTATAACTCGTTTTATGTTTTTTTTAAAGATGAATAATTCGCTTCTATGCATTGTACTTGGCTTCTTTTAATCTGTGTTCACTCTATAAGTAGGTTAAAGAAAAAGCTGAAAAAATGCAGGCAGTTTTTCATCTTAATTTTTCCCAAATACTATTAAATTATTTTTTCTAAGGAGGGGAAATGTGAAGCAGTTAATCATTAACAACAACATAAAAAAGATACGCAGTGAAAGAAATTTAACACTCCAGAAATTTTTTTCTATTAGCGTTTTTCCTGGTTCTATGGCTTATCTATAAAATCACTTTAAAGATGCGGGCATAAAATTTTACTCTATTATGTAAACATTAAAATATTGTGTAGGTATAGTAATTTGTTTACAAAAAAAAAAAATAATCGAGCAAACGTTTGAGGGAAGTAACACCAATAAAATTTTAATTAAAATTTTTCCCTTCCTTCGAGATATTTACCCTCCTCGACCGTGTGTACAAATTGTTATTGGCTGTGTTTATACATGAGATGCCAAGTAAAGTGCATAAAAGTGATTCACGGAGATCGTTTTAAGTTTAATGCGATTAATAAAAGTTAATTTTTAATTAAATTAAACGAATTGTTGTATGAGTTTAATTTCAGACATATTGAAATTTTGCATACATATAACATATAGTTTATTGCTTCTAATTATAATAATAAGTGTCATTTTTTATACATATAAAATAAAATAACAGTGCAAGAAGCTACTTTTACTTCTGCTAGTGGTAAAAGCTTCAGCCAAAAATAAAATTTTATATGATGTTACATGCAACTCATTAAAATCATAGTATGATTATTATGATAACCACGATAATATTTTGATTTTGTTGTAAGTTTTTAATGTTATTTATTGTTTTTTTTTTATACATGTTAATTATACAATAGTAAGAAGTTACATTTGATTTGTTCAGAGGTTTTTAAGACAGTGTTTTAAATAATGTTCAATGTGTTTTTGTGGTGACGTTTTGTTTTTTAATTATATTTTTGACTGTATAAATCTAAATAAAATCATTATTTAATGCAGTTTACATGTTTTCGACATGTCTTTATAGCTTAACGTAACCTAATGAGAAATACTGCATTTATTTATCAAAAACTCTTCTCTGTGAAGCATATTTTACAACAAATTATAGGGACAAAACAACTTTGGAAATAATTATTATATATTAATGGTCTGACAGCCGAAACGATTTGGTCAAAATGTTTTAATAAAGTGTGTAAAATTATTCCTAAAGTTTTTTTGTACACCTCATATTCTACAATTCTATTTTTCATTTAAAAAATAGAAGGCGCACCTACTATTATTCTTACGCTGTGTCTTTGCATTACTGTACATTTACTTTTTAATGGTACATGGTATAGATGAACGTTTCAGTAATTATTACTGTTAGTTAAATTTATTATTAGCAAACAATGACACACATCAAGATAATTACTGCTTTATATCAATCAAGGTTACTGGCAAAGTACGGACGAAATTTAATTTGTTTGCGCAGTTCCGCACGTTGCTTATCTACGGCTTGGCTGAATTTGTGGCATTGGAAGTGGAGGAATGTAATAAATTATTAAAAATTTGTTCCCTACCTGATTTACCCGATGTGCAGGTAAAATTATATGAATTATTTATCATTATTAATAGATAAANCTAGTTTTGTTTATTTAATTACGTATATTCGAGGTGATTTAAAAAAACTTCCTGGTTTTCTTTTTACTATTGCATTTCTTTTATTATTTATTTTTCATTTGTAAAACGCACAGATAAAGGTGAAAATTTGTTTGGGAGATTTGGTTTCGAGTTGGTTACGTGTTCTGTGATTTGTCGCAAAGTTATTTAGCTGCATAATTTATGTAGTATTGTGTAAGATGTTACAGATGAGGTTTAAATAGAGTTTAAAAGGTGTTTTTAGTGCCAGATAGATTTAATAAGCCTTAAACATGCTTTAATTACAAAAATACTGTTCAGGAAATTTTATCCTTTAGATTTAGACAGTATATTTTTAAAAAGTTTCAAAAAATATCGTACCACTTTTTTTATATTGCAAAACATATAAAACTTTCCTGAAACAAAATAAGCATTTCGACCATTATAAGAAATTAAGAATTGGTGAGATTATTGAATTAAGTGTATTAATTTATGAGAAGTTCCAGATGTTTTGAATATTCTTTCAGTTACTTCAAAGAACCACAGTAAGTGGTTTTTAGAAATTCATCATTAAAATATAGTACATATTATCAAAATATTTGGAACCTTTGTACATAAGACATTGTCAGTGTCAAACCAATTGTCGTTGAATGTTGGTTTCAATGATGATTTCAATATTAATAGAATTGTTCGAAAAGATTTTAATATTCGTAAAGCATGTGTAAAAGCTAGTGTTTAGGATAGTTGTTTACTTAAGTTTTGTTCTAATGTATTTCTATGTGATATTTTAGTTTCGTTTTGCCTATAACTCGTTTTATGTTTTTTTTAAAGATGAATAATTCGCTTCTATGCATTGTACTTGGCTTCTTTTAATCTGTGTTCACTCTATAAGTAGGTTAAAGAAAAAGCTGAAAAAATGCAGGCAGTTTTTCATCTTAATTTTTCCCAAATACTATTAAATTATTTTTTCTAAGGAGGGGAAATGTGAAGCAGTTAATCATTAACAACAACATAAAAAAGATACGCAGTGAAAGAAATTTAACACTCCAGAAATTTTTTTCTATTAGCGTTTTTCCTGGTTCTATGGTTGTTCTGTTACAGAGAGGCTTATAAATGCCATTATCCAGGTTAAACGAGTTATAGTGGTGAAATTGAACGAGCCAGTACAAGAAAATCAAGAAGAATACACAAGACACTTGAATAAAATAGTAAAAGCAGCAACAAGTGGGTATCTTTTTTAAAATCGCATTAAGTGCACTTTAGAATAGTTTAATTAAACAATAGACAAAAATATATTTCACTGCAAAAATAAAAAGAGTCACTTAAAAATAAACAAAATCGATTTTTAATAAATAGGATTAAAAAATTGTTTCATGCTTTACTGCTAATGGTTTTCATTGCAAGTCGCTCTAATGTATTTAGTTTATTTGCATCAAACTTATTATTGTTGTTTAAACTGCTATTAAACTCTTCATTGAAACCATACACATTTAAATGAAGTACATTAAAAAATATTTACGATTTGTGAAAGTATAAAAAAGTTTCGCTATTTTCATCAATGATTTCTTATAGGTCATTGAGGGGCCATTATTCCCATTATGTGGAACATGCGCCTGCCATTTTGATTTACATTTAATAGTCGCCATATTGACCACGTGTATCTTTTTTTAATGATAAGAAGAACAAAATATCAAAGTACAGAATCGTCGTCATACATGTAGAAAGTTGTTTATACAATATATAATCTTTCTTTTCATTTTTTGTTAAGATTTTAAAACTTGTATACAGTACAATTGTAATCACCAAAGTGAGATTTTTTTATCTCGAAAACCTGATTGGTTATTAAACTTTTGAGATTAGCACATTTGCGATCAGTCCTTCCATACGACGAGATACTTAAAACAAAATTAAAACTTTTAAGTCCCCAAAAAACGTGTCTAAAAATAAGTTTTTAAATTATTTGTCTGGCGAGGACGATAAAGTAAAATTATGGTAGGTAACCGTTTCATTTTTAGTAGCACTAGAAACAAATTTTTATATAAGCAGAAAGTTATTCTATTTAAAATATACTTTTTCTGTAAACCGTCACTATCAAGATACAGTATCTGTCATTTCGATATGTGCAGCGTTATCTTTTCTTTGTACTAAATTCTTTTGTTTATTTTGTTTTTTATTAGCATCAAAAAAAGAAAATAATTCTTTATTTTTTGTTTTCATTTAACATGCATCTTAGGATTTATTTATGTCACTGCGGGTAACGTCACTGTTCGGCCAATATGGCTATCAACCGCCATGATAGTCTCTATAGCGTAGACTTGAAAATTTTTAATTTNTATTAATAGATAAATACAGGTAGATGTTTATCAGGAAATATCGTTGTCAACGTATTTCATTTAAACCGGCTGTTTTTTAATACATACAATGTGATTTGAAATCTCAGTGATAGTGACTATAACGATAAAAATTTGAAAGAACAATTCATTTCGAAATTCTTGAATTTAAATTTCACATCAAGCGTTAACTGTATGTAAACTACAAACAATTCTTCCTTCATTCAATTTATATTTTTAATAATTCCCTTAAATGATTTATAAGCCGATACGAAGAATTTGACAATTTTTAAAAAAATATTAAGTTTGTATGTATTACTTTTTCGCTCACTTTAATAATTTATAAATAGTTGTGTACGTATATATTGTTTTTATTTGGAAAATTGTAGAACATTTGGCTGGATTATTAGCTATTTTGCTTGTCCTTACCTTGAAGACTTTTTTTTATAATCAGATAATTCAGCATATTTCGTGCCTGGTTCCGAGATATACGTGTGTGTAGATGTATGAATGTGAATTAATAAAACATTCTGTACATATCGTTTTGAATGGAATTGTCTCAATTTCGTGATATTTAGAATTTTGAAACGTTTAGTGATGGTTTAGTGGCTCATCTTTCTTTTAATGAAAATTCGCTATCAGTGGTTTGATTTGGAATTATTTATTAGGTATGTTTAGATTTATGAAAATGAATTAAAAAAATGCACGTGGTCGTTTTTAAATATCGTTCATGTATTTAACTTGGTAGATAATAAGGATTTCGCTGAACCTAGGGTTGTGAAATATAATTGTAAGGATTTTTTTTATTTAGGTTTACTGATGATTATCACTGAAAGTTATATTTCATACAAAAATTAAAATTCAATGTGCTTGATTAATTAAACATACTTGCGATTAGTGCAATTACGTGAAATATTGTTGTGCATTGTGGATATTCAACGATTTTATTTTAGCTTCAGGTATGAGGGTAGTAGTGAACCTAAACTTTCTTAAAGTATGGGGTACTCACCTTGGAAGGCTCTTGCAGCGGAAGAAGCACGGAAGTGATTGCAGTGGTTTGGGTTGTTGAATTATTGACGTGGACACCAAAATTTTGTTATTCCAGAATTGTTCTTCCCAATTCATCGATACCCTACATTGAAAAGGTATGATACATTAATCCTTATAATTTAAAATTGAAAAGATCTTTTCTCCCTCACTAAACTAACTGAAAATACCAAAATGCATTAATGTCGTTATGAAGTATCAGTGAGAAGAATTTTATAGTTGGAAATTGTCAGGTCCTGGTTCTATGGCTTATCTATAAAATCACTTTAAAGATGCGGGCATAAAATTTTACTCTATTATGTAAACATTAAAATATTGTGTAGGTATAGTAATTTGTTTACAAAAAAAAAAAATAATCGAGCAAACGTTTGAGGGAAGTAACACCAATAAAATTTTAATTAAAATTTTTCCCTTCCTTCGAGATATTTACCCTCCTCGACCGTGTGTACAAATTGTTATTGGCTGTGTTTATACATGAGATGCCAAGTAAAGTGCATAAAAGTGATTCACGGAGATCGTTTTAAGTTTAATGCGATTAATAAAAGTTAATTTTTAATTAAATTAAACGAATTGTTGTATGAGTTTAATTTCAGACATATTGAAATTTTGCATACATATAAGGGTATGTAAGTATAAACAAAAAGGAAAACGAATTTTATATATCTAGAGGTTCTCTTAAAAACAAAAACAGCATATTCATGCCTCCATCCCCATTTGTTAATTTTCTCAGGGTGAAATCTATCTTATTTTTGATATACAACCGTTTATAGACAGCCCAAGTTATAAAATGCAGTATGTATTAAAAAAATCACACAATACAATATTAAATACCAAACGGGGTGACCTACGGTTTAAGAAAGTTTACTCTGCACCGGTGCAAGGTAAAATAAATCAGGCTCCCTATCAAAAGAAAAGTTTTTTGTCGTATTGTTTATTTGAAGATGCATTTAAATAAACAGTACGATTACACATCTTATATAAAATCTAAAGGCAATTTTTAATTTATATTGAAACACCAGCCCTGTTTTTATTGGAGGTATAAAGGATGGTTAATAGATTGGACTTATACTCCTTAAATACCTGCAACCATTCATTCATTCATGTATAAATTAATATCTAAACTCGGGACATCTACATCAATAAAAATAATGTTACTGTTGCCAGATTTAAGTATACTAACATGTAAAAGGGCCAAGGCCGATAAAATTATGAAAATTTCCCCAGTAACATTAAGATTAATAAAAAAAAAGACGTATTAGAAATACTGTTACGGGGGCCAGTTTCATACTCTTGTCCACCCTACCCTTTTATTATTATTTACACTGGCAGACTTGTATCTTTCATACCTACACCTACCTGAAAAATATTGGTACTTTTTTGTGATTCCATTTTCTAGTTTTTATTGCTTGTTTTCGAAACCGATTTTATATAAATTTTGTAACAAACATTTTTATTTTCTATTGATTTGCATGGTAATGATGATTTTAGGAATGATCTATTTTATAGAGGCTGTTCAGTTCAGTTCAGTCTCCATTAGTAGATAATTTTGCTGCCTTTGCATTTATAGAGGAGCTGCTAAAACATTCAAAAATTATAACAGTTCCTAGTAAATGTTTCTTAAAAATATACAAAAATTTGCCTTGAGAATTTGTATTTCGCCACGTGAATGTTTATTTTTTCATTGAAACTTTAATATTTTACTTACATGATAGAGAGTAGAAAATGTAAAAAAAAAAGAAAATAGTGTTAGTACAGAATAAAATGGTGCACCATTTATTAAAGTGTCTATTTTTGAAATAGGCAGTTTGTTCAGAGTTCATGTTATATATTTTATATTATATTATACTATTATGGTTACAATCATGTTGAGTGTTTTATATTTTTGGAAAAATCTCCCAAATTCTAGCGTTCTAGTTTTGTTTATTTAATTACGTATATTCGAGGTGATTTAAAAAAACTTCCTGGTTTTCTTTTTACTATTGCATTTCTTTTATTATTTATTTTTCATTTGTAAAACGCACAGATAAA